TTCTTTCTTTCTTTCTTTCTTTCTTTCTTTCTTTCTTTCTTTCTTTCTTTCTTTCTTTAAGAGCAGGAATCATACTAAGGCCAGATAAACACTTGCGAAACCCATGTCCTCTGAACTAGAACCCTGGCTCAAGATCTTCATGCCTACTGATAAACTACAATGTCAATTTAAACATAAAAATTTAAATTTATTTATTTTATGTATATGAATGTTTTGCCTTCATGTGTGTATGTGTACCATATACATGTCTACAGATGTTTCCAAGTCACCATGTGGGTGCTAGAAAACAAACCCAGATCCTTTGCAAGAACAATAAGTGCTCTTAACAGCTGAGCCATTTCCCTAACCCCCTAGAATGTCAATTTAAATTGTAGTTTCTGAGCCAGGCATGGTGGCACATGCCCTGGCTCCAGGACAGCCAGGGACACACAGAGAAATCTTGTCTTAAAAAATCAAATAATAATAATACATTAAAAAATAAAATGTATCTGTCTTTTGTAAAGTTCGCTAACAAAACTGATCTTTTAGAAGAAGATATTTATGGAGCTGAAAAACTGGTTCAGCAGTTAAAAGCACTGACTGCTCTTTCAAAGGACACAGGTTCAATTCCCAGCACCCACATGGCAGTTCACAACTGTCTGTAACTCCAGTTCCAGGAGATCTGACACCCTCACACAGACATACATGCAGGCAAAACACCAACACACATAACATAAAAATAAATTATATATTTTTTAAAAAGTTATTTATACCATACATGGTGGTGCACGCCTCTAATTCCACTACTTGAGAGGCAGAAGCAGGGTCAAGGCCAGACTGGTCCACATGGTGAGTTCTAGGACAGCTAGAACTGTTATGCAGAGAAACTCTATCTCGAAGAACTAAAAACCAAAAAGCCAAACCAAATAAAAATAAAAAGAGAGGGAGAGAGAGAGAGAACAGAAAAAAAGGGAAAGGAAACTGCTTTTCCGTGGTGCTTCAGTCCTTTAACCCTATACCATCGTCTAGGGTTAGAGTGGAAGCCCCCATACCACTGTCTCAGGGTTCAAGTGAAAGTCAGTTCCCCCTACACCACTGTCTGTCTAGGGTTAGATTGGAAGTCAGTTGCCCCCTTATACAGCTGTCATAGGGTTGAAGTGGAAGTCCGTTCTGCTATAGAACCGTCTTAGGGTTCAAGTGGAAGTCAGTTCTCCTTATACTACTGTCTTAGTGTTCAAGTAGAAGTCAGTTCCCCTATATCACTGTCTTGGGGTTTCTATTGCTGTGCAGACACCATGACCTGGGCTATACAAAGAAACCCTGTCTCAAAAAACAAAACAAACAGCCGGGTGATGGTGGTGCACACCTTTAATCCCAACACCCTCACACAGACATCCATGCAGGCAAAACACTAATGCTCATAAAAATAAAAATAAATATAAAGAAAAAGAAAAAAAGAAATTTGATGTTCCAAAGAATGTTATTAATCTTTGTGGATACAGAGTAAATCTCTTCCCAAAGGGAACTTGCTCACAGTTGAGGGAGGTGAATAATTGCTTCTGGTTTTAATAAACGCTCCATTATCAGAGCATTTGACGTAGAGATGCTCTGATCTCACAAAGGAAGTCGGAGCTCAGGTTCCTCTGGTGCTGGAAGCCGAACTTTGGTCCTCTAAACGAGCAGCAGGTGAGTGCTCCGAATCAGTGACCTTCTCTCCAGCCTCCCCCCCCGCAGCATTTTAATGCTTATGAGTGACAGATAGTACTATTATAAAACGAAATGACCAAGTGGTCATGGTGGTGCACGCTTTTAATCTCAGCACTCAGGAGGCAGAGGCAGGTGGATCTCTGTGAGTTCAAGTCCAGCCGGGTCTACAGAGTGAATTTCAGGACAGCCAGGGTTATATAGTGAGACCTTGTCTTGAAAAACACAAACAAAAACAACAAAAAAAGGATCTTTAGCTGGCAGATTTAAAGTCCTACAACTTACTACAGAAAACAAGAAAGCAACATGTGGTGCTCACCATGCCCTGAACTAGGAGGTGAAGGCAAGGGGAGAACAAGCTCAAAATGAGCCCAGTTACAGAAGGAACCTGAGGCCAACCTGTACTGTAGGGGGCAGGGGTGTTAGAGAGACTGCTGCTGTCTGCGAGCTCTGCTATTAATTCAACAGCTGTCAAAGCTTTCCATGTACCGGATACAAGCTTTAAAACTGTTTTCAGATCATGAGCATTTTTATTGCAAAAGGCCTGTACATATGTACATATGTCAGGTCTACACTTGTATAGCTATCCAAACGCTCAACCAGTCACTAACACAGGAATATTCATCACAGAAAGCAAGCAACACTGCCCATCTCCAGCACAGCAGAGTTTGTCAGTCTTGAGTCAAGTGCTCACATTGATGAGGTCTCTGAAGTCTTTTCTAGGCTTTCATCCTGATGGATGATCAAGTATTGGTGCCACCAACCTCTGCCGGTTGTGGTGGCACACTCCTTTAATCCTGGTCCTGGAGGCAGAGGCAGGCATGGTGAGTTCCAGGCCAACCCGGGCTACACAGTGAGACCCTGTCTCAAAAGCAAAAACAACAAAATAATTTAAAGACTTTACTACAAAACGCCCTAAAACTGCTTCCACTTCAATTCATTCTCAATCCCTGTAGTCAACAAGCCAACCGGGATCTTTGGACACGATCATGATTAGTGAGGTTGGCCCAGGCTTCGGTCTTTCCTTCATTGTCCATGTTATTGTCTTCTTGGTTTTGTCCACTGTAGCCCAAGCTCCTGGTGATCCAGCGAGCCACCACACTTGGCTGAGGCTTGCTTTTGTCCTGTTTTAATTTATTATTATTGCACGTGTGAGCTTTGTGTGCATATGGAGGTCAGAGGCTGAGGCAGGGTCTCCTGTCGTTTTCACTGCTTGGGGCTCACTGTCTCTTGAGCTTCCAGACATTTCTCCCTCTCGCCACCTCTCGTCTGCCCTGAGGGTTGAAGATGTGAACCACTGCATTTGGCTTTTTATTTTTAGAGTTAATTTTATTTATGTGTATACCTGTGTCTGTGTGTGCATAGGTGTTTGCAGAAGCCAGAGGAAGGTATTGCATACCCTGGAGCTGTAGTTATAGGCAGTTGTGAACCACCTGATTTGTGTGCTGGGAATGGAGTTGCATTCTCCCACAAGAGCAACAGGACTCTTAGAGCAGAGCCTGCCAGATGTTGTGTTGTCAGGATTCTGGGGATGGAACTCAGGTCATCATCAGTCTGTATTAAGTACCTTGTCCTATGCATCATCCTGCAGGCCTGGCCTGTGATTTGGATTTTAAAATGGGACACAGAGATGATGAAAACACTATTTAACAGTATCAGTCCATTCCCTTCTCTGTTGTTATAATAAGATACTTGAGCTATAACCCAACCTAACCTGGAATTCTTGATCCTCCCGCCTCATTCTCCCAAGTGCTCGGACTGAAAGCATATGCCAGACTTAGGAAAGAGGGTTAAGGGCTCGTGAGATGGCTCAGAGAATAAAGGTGCTTACTGCCAAGCCCGATAGCCAAGTTCAATTCCTGGGGTTCCGTGGTGGAAGAAGAGAACCGACTCCCAAAAGTTGTCCTCTGACCCCCAAATGATGTGTGTGCTGAGGCACATATACACACACACATGCACATACACACTTACAGACCAATAAAGTGCTGGCCCAACATCTGACATGGTCACTGAATACTCAAACTAAGGCGAGAGCAACTGGTTGGCTTCTTAAGTTTATTTACTCATTTATTTATTTAGACAGTTTGTTTTTTGAGACAAGGTTTCTCTGTGTAGTCCTAGCTGGCCTGGAAGTGGCTCTGTAGACCAGGCTGGCCTCGAACTTACAGAGATGCACATTACATTCACATTTATTTGTCTATGGGTGGCACATTCATGCCAGTGTGTGTGTGTGTGTGTGTGTGTGTGTGTGTGTCAGAGGACAACTTTAAAAAGTTGTTGTTCAAGTGATCAAACTCAGGTCACTGGGTTCAAGACAAGTGCCTTTACCTGGCAAGTCCTATAGTTATCATTTTTTTCCATCTATCTATCTATCTATCTATCTATCTATCTATCTATCTATCTATTTATTATGTGCATTGGTATTCCTATAACTGGAGTTACAGACAGTTGTGAACTGCCACATGGGTGCTGGGAATAGAACCTGGGTCCTCTGGAAGAGCAGCCAGTGTTCTTAGCTGCTGAGCCATCTCTCCAGCCCCTACAGTTATCATTTTTAAAGGGCTTCTCAGGCTGGGAATATAGCTCAGTGGTAGAGTACTTGACTAGCATGGATGTGCGAGGCCCTACGTTCACACCCAGCATTGGGGGAAAAATACGTTTCATGTTGATGTCTGCAAATTTACTGTTCCAGCTGAGGTGCACTGTGAATGTTTTATGTACACTGGATCCTGAAGACCTGATACAAAATTAGAAAAATAGATTAACATGAGAATTTTGAAGGCTGAGACTGGTCCTGCTCTGCCTAGAATACATGGAGCTGCAGGTTTAATCTCCAGCACTGCAAAGAGAAAAAGAGGGTGAGGTGAAACCGAGAGAATTTGGGACAAATCAGATGGAATAAATACTCTATAATAAAATTAACTTGTGTATTTTAGTGTTGCGTATAAGGCCGCTGGAACGTTTTGCTCTCGGCAAAGGCGCTTTGAACCTAGGCTTTAATGAGTAATTGCTGAAGATGTCTGAGTAGATTGGTGTGATTTGAATTTTAACTGAGGGTTAGCGCCGCATTGGAATTCGTTTCTGGCGATTTGGGGACAGGAAGATCTGCAGCGGTGATGAGTGGCGGTAATGAGTGGTTTACACACCGTGCAAACAGGGAGAGCAGCATTTCTTAGATTTTTTCCTTTCTTCACCCCAGGGCTGCTGCTGCTGCTTTTTATTTTAAGCAGTGTTTTCAGACTCAAAAGTGAGTTATGGGGACACCTCACCTGGTAGAGAAAGATTAAAATCAGACAAATCAAAGCCATGCACGTTGCCTCTGTGAGGAATGGTACCATGGTACTGATGCAAACAGTGGAATCTGGGCGGTCCTTGGAGCAGTCCTGGCTCGTGTTTCCCCAGGCCTGTACTGGGCCGTGGTTGAAGCCTGAGTGCTCTTTTGTAGGACCCTTTGTCTTTTGGCTTAGTTTTCACACTAGTGAACCTCATCACAAACCGGCAGGAGGCCAAACTGAGGTTTACATTCTGCAGGTGTTTGCATTTGGAACTGATATCCCTGGCTATTGTTCCCATTGTCCCCTTTCCACTAAGCCCTGCGACTTTGCTCTTTGCTCCCAACTGGGTACATTTTAAAAGGTCCCCTTCACACTTCCTCCTCTTTCAGATCTAGGAAAGACAGAGAAGAGCTCACAGAGGTCTCACTAGCCATTCAAGGACTTAGGACAGCTAGGCATTGAAAGTGTATCTCAGCCTGGAGGCCCTCTGTTGCCTACTCCCTCCCGCAGGGTTGGTCACCCTTCCTGGGCCTTGGACTTTTCAGTCTTTTAGCATTTACTCCCATAATGCACCAAAACCCCCAGGCAACAGGCAGCATCCTTTCCCATAGTGCACCGAGAACTCCACAAACCTGGTCATGGTTCCGGCTCTTATCTGTTGCTCAAGATGAGGATTTTTCTGACTTGGACTCTGGCTCAGGCCACGGTAGTACAAACTTGTGAGACTCGAGCATCTTTGCAGCTGCTGGTTTAGATAGCATTTGTCTCAATTTGTTCAGCACATTTTAGATTCTTAGGTTTCAGCTGAATTCCAGCTATAATCTTTCCAATGCACGCATTGCTGCAAGTAGAATCCTCTCTGTCACCACCAGCCGTTGGCCTTTCTCAGAGATCATCTCCAGCTTGGGGACACCCGGCTCTCCCAAATCACTAGCCCACTTCCACTCCCTGCAGTCCCTTTAAGAAAGAAAAATGTTTAATCTTTATTATTTTTTTAATACATTGTGAGTGTTTTGCCTACATGTATGTCTGTGTACCACGTGTGTGCAGTTTCTGGAAGTCCAGAAGGCATCAGATCCCCTGGGACTAGAATTACAGATGGTTGTGAGCCAGTACCAGGCCAATTAAAAAAGAGAAAGAGAGAGGGAGAGAGAGGGGGAGAGAGGGGAGAGAGACAAAAATAAAATGCAAGTAGTCTTGTACTGAATTTTGCCATAGAAAACAGGTCAGGGTCGGCCTCCCTTTCACACGGCTACACTGCTTCTTTCTTTCTGTTTGTTTTTATTTATTTCAAGACAAGTGTTTCTCTCTGTAGCCTTGGCTGTCCTGGAGAAGGGCCAGGTTTGCTTCAGTATAATCCATCAGTCTGGATCCTCTGCCCAAACTGAAGCTTTTTTTTTTTTTTTTTTTTTTTTTTGAGACAGGGTCTCTTTTCATAGATTGGAACTCTATGTAGATCAGGCTAGCCACGAACTCAGAGATCCTCCTACCTCTGCTTCGTCACTCCCAGCCAACATTACTTATTTCTTAACCAAGAAAACAATATTCTGTTACCAGCTTCAAACATCTAAGAATTAGCCCTCAGCAGACTCTTTCTCTGCATAATGTTAGCCAGTTGAGAACAGGCACAATCTTGGGTTTTCACAATTCATTTATTTCCTCCAGTCAGTGTAGGCCAAGAAGGACCAGAGCCTGGGAAAGGATGTTCTGCCTTGCAGGGAGCAGCCTGGCTGCAGTCCACCCTTGTAGAGGCATTCCTGTGCTTTCAGAAAGAGAGAACAACAACAACAATAAAACAAACAAACAAACAAAAAACAACAAATAGACTCCAGAGCCACAGCCACAGTGTGGAGGGCTGGGGTCCAGCTCCAGAGGAGAGTCCAGCCTGTGGGAGGCCCAGAGTTTTGTGCCCTTGGCAAAAGAGGAGAGGAGATATTATGATGCATAATAAGTAGAAATGAGAAGGAGAAAGAGACAGACAGACAGAAAGACATCATGGTCTTATTACAAGCTGCATGTACAACCTCATGTGTTCTCTGACAATAAAGAACTCCACTGGTCTTGGAGAACTGAATTGTTAGCTTGTTCATTTCTATGAGACGGGCAAGGAGCTTAGACTGGCCTGAGACTTAGAATTCTCTTCTGAGAGGTGAGACTGTAGGCATGCCACTGTGCTGCCCTGAATGGTTAATTTTAATGAAATTAAAAATTTAAACTGGGCAGTGGTGGCACACACCTTTAATCCCAGCACTCTGTGAGTTCAAGGCCAGCCTGGTCTACAAGCTACAGAGAAACCCTGTCTTGAAAAACTAAAAACAAAACAAAAAAAGAAAAAAGAAAGAAAAAGAAAAATTTAAGTAACAAGCCTGGCAGTGGTGGTGGCAATTCTCTGTGAATTCGAGGCCAGCCTGGTCTATAAAGTGAGTTTCAGGATAGCCAGGGCTACACAAGAGAAACCCTGTCTCAAAAAACCACAAAGAAAAAAGAGGACAGCTTTGTGGAGTGGGTTCTCTCCTGGCACCATGTGGGTCCTGGGGATCGAACTCAGGTCTGCAGGCTTGGTTGCAAGAGCCTTTACCTGCTGTACCATCTTGAAAACCCTCACTAGCTCTAAGGAAAATGTAGTGTTGCACAAGTGGCTTGGATTCTATTTCTACTGGCTGGCACTAGCCTTTGGGCATTGTTTTTCCTTTGGTTGCTAAATTCAGTAGCTGTGGTAATTAATGGGGCTTCCGACTCAGTGCTTCTTAGAAAGGAAAATGGAGGGAGGAGGGGATGCAAGCTCGGGGAAGGTTTTCTTGAACGGCACGTTCCACTCAACCTCAGTTTTCTCAGATACTGATCGGATTTGGGAAGGCCCCTCCTTTAAGGAGAAAATGACCAGGTTTGCTTGAGTTCAGCCATTCAGTCTGGATTGGGGGCCACAAAGCAAAGCTACTTTGTAAAGATGCTTTTCTTTCCTCCGTGCATACAGCCACCCTCCCCCACCTCTCCTGCAGGGAAGGGGGTTGCTTCTTCAGCAAGTCAGAACCCAGAGCCCCAGTCACATCACGTGTGGGTCACAAGCTCAGCTGTTTTACCCACTAAACTCACCTGAAATCCCTCCTGCCTCCTGCTGGTCGTCATTGTCTTCCCTGGGCTCTCAGTTCTCCTAGCCAATTTTTTAGTTTTTTTGCACAGTGTGGTAATCAGATATTTTTTTTTCTCACACTTGTCTTTCAGGAAATGCCCAAGCCCCAGCTAACAGGATTTTAGCAAACATTTCTTATGTGAGAATGTTGTCCTTGTCTATTGACCGACTGTTGAGGCAGGTGAACTAGGGCCTAGGCAAGTGCTATACCACTGAGCTACACCTCCATCCCTACCCCCCATCTCTCTCTCTCTCTCTCTCTCTCTCTCTCTCTCTCTCTCTCTCTCTCTCTCTCTCAAGACCAAGAATGTACTCAGCAAATACCTGTTAAGTTGAATTTGGTATTTGCTGTGTTTCTAGATGTTGTAAACCTCAGAACAGGTGACGGTGGCAGGCTCTCCTTCCTTTCCCTTGCACACCCACCCTAGAATGAAAACGCCCCTGGCAGCCGCAGAGAGTCACGGATTCTCTGCTTCCCTCCTTGGATGACTTTCAGCTGCGAGCTTTCCTCTTTCCAGACTGATTCCATTCCCAGCGCCTTCAAATTTGCCCGCCCTCCAAACTTTTTGGGATTTTGTTCTGTGAAACAAAAGGGTTGTCGGCTCTTGAAAAGGAGAAGGAATTTGGATGGGCTTTTTTTTTTTTTTTTAAAAAAAAAAAAAAAAAAGAACCACAGGGAGGACGTGGTAAAAAGCCAGAGGAGGGTGGGGGGAATTGATTGCTTGCGAAGGAGAGGGGGTTGGGGGAGGAGCTGTGAAAATCAGATAATAGAGGTCATCAATTTCTCAGGTCAGAGGTTAAAGGCTGGGGGGTGGGGGCGGGGGGCGCGAGCATGAAAAGGCTCCACCCCTTGCAGAGATTATAAATAGGTAGGCTGGGCCATCTAGCTGTGATGGTCCTGAAGCCCTCTGAGCACCGAGACAGAACTTGCTGCCGAGTACACTGGCTGGGAACGGTGTCTCTGGAACCTACCCATAGATCGTCCTTAAGGCTTGAGAAGTAGATTAGGACCATGGGGACAACGAAGGTAAGAACTGGTTATTTTTGCTCGTTTGTTTGGGGTCCTCGCAAAGGCAGGTCTTGGTGCCGATTGCCATACTCCAGTTTCTCCTAAGTCACCGAGCCATCTGGAGGGAGGCCTTTTCGTTATCAGTCCCAGCATTCGCTGCTAGTGTTCCCGTTAGCGTTCTGTGCATCTCATACCTGATGAGGATCCTTCCGGGTACCTTCCTATCGTGTGAAAGTCACCAAAGAAGCCGTTTGCTTCCCGGCTGTGTTGAATGTAGCTGTGATGACAGCGAAGGGGGTAGGGGCTTGGCCGTGGCGATGATGAGCGGGTCTCGGAGCTCTCCGGGAGGCTTGGGAAAGCTTTAGACCTTGGGAGGACCTGGGGTCGGCTTAGGCTTGCTCAGCAGCCAGCCATCCCCGAGTGCTGTGTAGAGAGAAGTCCAGTTGCCCTTACTGTGGTTGCCAGTGTAGGGTGTATCTGTTACTGTGGGTAAAGGAAGCAGTATTTGTCAGGGAAAGACCTTTTCACCAAGATAATTTATTTGGAAATAAAGTAAATTAGGAGGCCGTGGGGAAAAAAAGCGGAACAGAAGAGGAGACGGGAAAAGAGGCTTTTACTACAGGACTTTACGGAAAACCTGGGAGGGACAGCACTTACCACGGAGGCTGGGCGGCTGCCGGAAGGTCAGCTCGCTGGTATAAGCTCCCAGCCTGCCTCTCTAAGGTTTGACCTTAGAGAAAAGGAACTTAAGGGACAGTTGAAGTGATGGGCAAAGAGGTTGGCCTCAGGTTCTGGTTTTGAGCTGCCGCTGCCCACTTGAGTGATGCCCAGCAAGGTGCCTGATTCCACTCTGCTAAAAATGGCTCCTAATGTGTTCAAAATGAGCGAACGCTCAGCCCAGCTGGGTGGGGGAAAATAGTACCATATTTAGCGAACAGGAAGACTCTCAAGAGGGCCCCAGGATGTTGCTGGTAGGTTACACAGGCTAGAGATAAGTAAGAACAGCCCGGCCCTAGGTGCCAATCAACGGAGGAATGACTAAAAAAAAATAATGGTGACACACTGAGGATATCAGTCAGGGGTTAAGAAAAATGAAGTCAGCTGGGGGGTAGTGATGCACTCAGGAGGCAGACACCAGTGGATCTCTTGAGTTCGAAGCCAGCCTGGTCTAGTCTACAGCGTGAGTTCCAGGACAACCAGGGCTACACAGAGAATAAACCTGCCACAAAGGGAAAAAAAGAAAGAAAAATGAAGTCTTGTCTGTGTGGAACCGAGATGGATGGATGTGAAATAGGCCAGGTACAGAAGGAAAAGCATGGTTTTCAGATCTGTAGAATTTAAAATCACAACTACAATCCCACACTTGAGAGACTGAAGCGGGGGGACTGAGGAGTTGATTCTGATATTAGCTTGGAATACATACAGACTGTGGAAACATATCTCAAATATCGTAAAGCGGGTGTGGGGATGTGAGCTGAGCAGAAGTGGAGTATCGGGGTGCGGAGAGGAGAGCACAGGGATTTGCACTCTTAGTATGTTCCGGGCCAAGCTGTTGCTACCTGCTGCTCTGGCCTCTGCAGCACGGTCAGTTCTTAGGGATCGTAGAGCTGCCTTCTGCTCTATCTTCTGTACTGTGGGGAGTTTGGGGTCTCCCTGGCTGACCATGAACTCATGGCTATCCTCCTGCCTCAGCGGCCTCCCCAATTGCTGGGTTTATGAATTTGAGCCACTGGCATGCCCTGCCCTCACAGTTCCTGAGTGTAGCCCCATGCTTGCCTCTCTGGTGCATGTTTGCTTGTTTGTTGAATCTTCTTTTTGAGACAACCAATGTTTCACTATGTATGTAGTCCAGTCTGCCTTTGAACTCATGATCCTGTGGCCTTGGAATCACAGGTGTGCACTACTATGGTCCGGCTGTTGCAATGGTTTCTTCTCTCTCTCCCTCCCCCCCCCCCACACCCTCCTCCTCTCTGTTTGAGATAGGGTCTTACTGGGTTGCCCTGGCTGACCTGGTACTTGCTATGAGGACCAGCCCAAAAGAACTGACTCAAATTCCTCTAAAGGTCTCCCCAAATGTGCCTGAAATCCTAGCATTCTGAAACCTGAGGCAGGAGCATTGCCTCAAGACAGACATCAATTAGCCAGACATGCTGGGAAAGGGGAAGACTATTATTCATCAACATTTGTAAACATTCTCTCCTTGTCTTCCTAACAGGTGACCCCATCGCTGGTGTTCGCCGTTACTGTCGCCACAATTGGCTCTTTCCAGTTTGGCTACAACACTGGAGTCATTAATGCTCCTGAGATGGTGAGTGTCAAGTGTTCTTTAGGGTTGTGAATTTAAGGTGCCTGGCTGAGCTGGGGAGGGCAAACACTGTGGAAGAAGCCTGAGCCCTGCCGCTTGCTCCTCTGCTTGCCTCTGTGCTCTGGCCTCTTGCCCTCTCACCAAGTCGTGAACCACCGTTTCCTATATTATTCCTTGGGGATTGCTAAAACCGTGGGAAGCTGTGACTGGGTGGGTGCACCGTTGGGCATTTGTGCTGCCACCTACTGGGTGTTTAGGGTGATGCTCCAGAATTGTCTGTTGCAAAGCACGTGCCTTTCGTCCCTCTGCTCCTCTGAGGGAGGAAGTTGCCCCGGGATTTGTCTCCTTTTCTCATCCAGATGTAACGGTCTGTCCTCCCATTGTGCTTTTTCTCATGCAGATCATAAAGGACTTTCTCAACTACACTTTGGAAGAGAGGTCAGAAGACCTACCAAGTGAGGTGCTGCTGACGACCCTCTGGTCCTTGTGTGTGGCCATCTTCTCCGTTGGTGGCATGATTGGCTCTTTTTCTGTTGGACTCTTTGTCAACCGCTTTGGCAGGTATTGATCAGACACTGGGCAAGAATTAGGCCTGTACTGTTTAGACTGAAGACAAGCGGAGAGTCTTGGAGCAGGGAGATGATGCGACCTGTGTGCTAATTCATGCTCCAGGAAGCTCCACACCCCCCCCCCCCCCCCCACACACACTACAGCTGCCCTTGGAGGGCCACTGCCTAGGAAGCTCCAGCTGGTCTTTCTGGAGATCTGCTATGTGAACACTTGGCCTCTGAAGTTTTGCTCAGGCTGGTTTAATTTTGCTCTAATAGGGTCAGCTATGGTGTTTACTTGAACCCCTTTAAGGTCAGAGGTTACTTTTTCCCCTTGAGGCAGGGTCACTGACTAACTGTGTAGACCAGACTGGCTTCAAACTCAAGGTCCAGCCACCTCCTTCTGCTTCCATAACACCCAGCCAAAAGTTAATTTTCATTACTGAATAGCTTTGGAGTATCTTGGAAGTCTTGATATTTTATAAAATTAGTATTCTTCTAATCCTTGACTTGTGGAAATGGCTAAATAACTGATCCCCACACACGCAAGAGAAAATTGAATAAAATAATAAAATATCTTAAGAGGATTATACTTTTAAGAATTGACTACAAAAGAAACCATTAATAAACTAGATACACAGGCCCAGCACTCATGAGGTTTAGGTGGGACCATGGGTTGAGGCCAGCCCAGGAGCTGGTCTCATGGTCAATATAAGTTGACCTCTGACCTCCACAAAGCACATATTTCCTATGACACACATCTTGTCACACACATACACAAAAATTGTCTTTAGATTTAAATTTTAGCTCTTCTAGATATGCAAATTGAATTTAAGATAATTAGCAAAGCCATCTGTTGTTGGATGATGTTTTGTTGTGTTTTTTGGGGATTTTTTTGGAGGGGGAACAGGGTTTCTCTGGTGTATAGCCTTGGCTGTCCTGGAACTTGCTGGCCTCAAACTCACAGAGATCACCTGCCTCTGCCTCTGCCTCTGCCTGCCAAGTGCTGGGATTAACGGTGTACACCACCAACCAGCATTATTATTTTTTTTTTCAATTTTTTTGTGTTGTTGTTGTTCTTGTTATTACTTGTTTTGTTTGTTTTTTTGAGACAGGGTTTCTCTGTGTAACTTTGGAGCCTGCCCTGGAACTAGCTCTGTAAACCAGGTTGGCCTTGAACTTGCCTCAGCCTCCCTAGTGCTGGCATTAGTGTGTCACCACCGCCCAGCTTATTTTGGTTTTTAATGGGGTCTCCTGATTAAACTCTTGCTGGTATTTGTGCGCCTTGGCTGCGCATTTCGGGTTCTCTAAGGGAGCTTTTAGGACTCTCAGGGCTGTGTCACACTTGGGCCAATTAAGTGGGCCTCTGGAGACAGGAACCGTGTGTTAGCACTCTTCCCAGCTCCCTTTGTGGTTTACTTGTCTATTTGGGTCATGGATCCCAGGCTCGCTGAGCACTGCGGTGCTAAAAGGGCCGAAACAGGTTAGGCTCCATTTACCCAGGGCTGCATAATGAGACCCTGTCTCAAAGCCAGAGTCCCGGGCCTCTCAGCTGTAGGGGCCTTCCAGTGTTAATCCTTTACATCTTGTAGCTGTCTCAGTGGCTTGGCCGCCCATTTAACACATAAAGCTTTAGTTTATTCCCTGTCGGTGATCAGTACTAATTAGTGTAGCCCTTAACTACTTGATACAGAGAGCTGAGACTGGCTACATTCTGAGTATTCTTTTCAGTGAAATGGAAAAAAAAAATTGTTCTACATATCCTACCATCACTGCAACATCAATTCTATGATGAATGTCATAAAAAGGAACCAGCATGGTGGCTCAGCCTTTGCCAAGAAGCCTAATGACCTGAGTTCAGTCCTTGGATCCACATACAGGCGAAAAGAGAGAACCAGTTCCTTCCATAATATGTGCTGTGGCATACTGGCACCTGTGCACATGCGTGCACACACACACACAAAGTAATAAGATTTATTTACTATACATACAGTGTTCTGCCTGCATGTCTGCCTGCAGGCCAGAAGAGGGCACCAGATCTCATTACAGATGGTTCTGAGCCTCCATGAGGTTGCTGGGAATTGAACTCAGGCTCTCTGGAAAAGCAGTCAATGTTCTTAACCTCTGAGCCATCTCTCCGACCCCTAAACTTTATTCTTACAAAAAGGAAGAAAGAAAAGAAAGGAACCATGGGGTGTAGCTCAGTGGTGACATGGCTCCCTCAAATATACAAGCCTCCCTCAAATATACAAGCCCACAGCAACAAAGAGAAAGAGATTTGTACCTACAGAGGCTACAGAAGAGCAAAGCCATGGGGAAAGGGGACTGGAGCCTCTTTGCTGACTAACTATACTTTGTGTTTGGTTTATCTCACAGGCGCAATTCAATGCTTATAGTCAACCTACTAGCCATTGCTGGCGGCTGCCTCATGGGCTTCTCCAAGATAGCTGAGTCGGTGGAGATGCTGATCCTGGGCCGCCTGATTATTGGCATCTTCTGTGGACTGTGCACAGGCTTTGTGCCTATGTACATTGGAGAGGTGTCTCCCACTGACCTGCGGGGTGCCTTTGGCACCCTAAACCAGTTGGGCATTGTTGTCGGGATCCTGGTGGCTCAGGTACCTTGCAGCTTTACATTTAATGCATGTTGACTCTGTACTCTGTGAATGATGTGGGTGAGGCCCTCAGGGTCTGGCATGTATTCAGTTATGTTTTTATATGTATGTGTTTCAAATGCTATTACTATGGTTCATACAGTAGCTAATAATGCTGGGAGGGCCCAGAAAGGGATTTTTTTTTTTATGCGTGATAAAAGGATGGATTTTTTTTAAAAAAAAAAATAGTGAATCTGTGGCCTGGAAAGGGGTTCAGTATTCTCTTTGTCTGGTTTCTAGATCTTTGGTTTGGACTTCATCCTGGGCTCTGAAGAGCTGTGGCCTGGGCTGCTGGGCTTAACCATCATTCCCGCTATCCTACAAAGCGCAGCCCTTCCGTTTTGCCCCGAAAGTCCGAGATTCTTGCTCATTAACAAAAGGGAGGAAGACCGCGCAAAGGAGAGTGAGTACT